TCACATTTTTGTTAAATTTTTTTTTTGTAATTCCGTATATAAAGATTCAGAAAATATGGGATCTCCGCCTACACAAACAAATTGTCGATAAAACTCCAAAATGGCATTTTCTTTTGACCCTATGTTTTCTTCCTCCTCTTCAGTGAGGCAAGACAAGAAAATTTCGGGGTAACAAACGTTCGCAAGAATTTCGCTTAAATTCGAACCCATAGCTGATGATAGAACTAGAATAGATATTTTCTGTTTCCTACTTACACGAGCCCATATCCTTGCTTTTCTATCCATTTTTAACTCTAATCTTCCTCCCCAATCTGATATTATTGTGGCAGTATAGACTGAAATTCCGTTATGGTCCAATTTTGACCGATAATAGATACCAGGGCTTTGCAATATTTGATTGACTACAATTCTGTATATTCCATTTACTATAAAAGTTCCCAGGGAATTCATTAGAGGAATGTTTCCAATAAAAATAATTTGTTCTTGGATATCCAGACTGTTTTTCCAAATTAATCCCGAGGATATATATAATTTAGAGGAATATGTAAGTAATTCATATACATCATCTTTTTCTTTTATTGAGGGTTCGACCAATTGATATGTTTCCGCAAATAACTGAAATTCCATTTCTTGATCTGGATCTTCAATTTTTGGAAACTTTAAAAGTTCTGCTGTTAAGCCCCGATCAATGAATCTACAAAATCCTTCAAATTGTATTTGATTCAATCCGGGTAGTGTAGACATTCCTTCATTCCCAACCCCAAACATTTTTTATTCCCCCCCTTTTTTATAGAAAATAGCCCATTATTTGTTGTAATTCTTCATCGAATCACATGAATAGAATAGATTTAGCAATAATGGAATTTCTGTTCTTTTTACTTTACTGAATCACATGAAATTTTACCGAACTACGTCTATGAAATACCGATTATGAAAAGAGGAAATTGGATACTCCAATTAGAATTTGCAACAAAACAAACAAATAGAATTGAACTTGTAATATCAATGGAAACAAATTGATCCATTTCACCTAGACTTCGGGTCGGGGTATTTTTAACAATCTAAAAAAAATGAATTCTATTTGTACTATTAGTATAGTATGATATTCCATATTCCCATTCGATTGATATCCCAAAAATAAATTCAGGATTTGCTCGGCTCCATGAGAGAAAGATATCAAAAATAAAATAATCAGAAAAAAAAATAGCATTTTTTTTAGCCCTTTACCATTTAAAGTGTTCAAAAAAGAATAAGAATTCACAAAGAAGAGAGATATTTTGACCCTTTATTTTAGAATTGGAGGTTTGCAGTGCATAAAAAGACTTGGCATAGATCTAACTTCAACTATAGCTATCTATATATGTCTCTTACGTTATTGCAGGCCTATTTGTTCGAGACAGCATATGTTGTGTTAATTTTTCTATTCATTCATCAATCTATTTAATGAAAAATTGGCAAAATAATGAAAGTACGAGAATTTATTGAAAATTCCCTGTAATCTAGAATTGATACCCGATTAGATAATGTGTAACAATGAAAATGGATATTCTGGAGTTGACATATATTAATAGTTCTTCTTATAATGGAAATAGAGAAGGATTCTAAAAAATCAAGATTCCTGAATTCTTCCGGAATTTTTAATTAATGGTTGCTTGCTATTTGTCCCGAAATTTTTACTTTTCTTTTGTGACTGAAAAGGTATACGTTAGTTTTTTGGAGAGGAGGGATATTCTGATCCATTTTTTTTATCAGGTTTTTTGGCGGCATGGCCGAGTGGTAAGGCAGGGGACTGCAAATCCTTTTTCCCCAGTTCAAATTCGGGTGTCGCCTGATCGACAAGATAATGTATTCCGTTTTGTTCATACAAAAACTTTGTCTTTTTTCCATGTGGAAGCAAGGGAAAGCGTTCTTGTCTTGAGACTTGTTTGATTCAAAATTCTACGCATTAAAATGCTTTCAATCTTTGCGTCTCGGATTCCATGAAAAATGAATTCGAGTAGTGAAATAAAAAGGAATAGATCAATCTTGAAGTCAAAGTCTTTTCACTCTACTACTGTTGTAGTGTCCGTCTACTGATTGGGTCTTGAATTAGATTGGATAGGTAGGACGGGGAATAGAATTCCATTTTTCGTTTCGTTGGCGAAGCGATAGAAGAAAAACCTTATATACAAACTTATGTCCAATATATGAACGCTTCTGCATTTTTTCCATATTTGTTAGCTTAATGAAATTGAATATTTCGATTTTTTTTTAATAGTTCTAATTTGATATTAATATTTTTTTTACTATGAATTTCATTTAATGTCAAAAAAAAGACTTCTAGTAAGATTCCGTTAGTATCATTAGTATCAAAAAGGTTTGGTTCTACAGAATATTTGACCGCTAGAAAATAGATTCTAGAATTCCCAATTCTTACACACTATAATTATTATATATTATTGGGCCACCCAGAAGAAGTAAATCAACTAATTGCTTCTTTCTTTTATTTTTCTTTCAAGTTGAAAGAAAAAGTCTCGACAGATATTATCCAGAAAAAATGTTTTGAACCAATTAATGAAGTTCCTTTTTCATTAAGATCCTAAAAAAAGGAAATGGAATTTTTGGAAACATAGAATAAAGTTATCTATTGACTCAATTACCAAAATATTCTGATTATGAATAACTCAATGGGACCCCCTCGAATTCATCAAAGAAAGAGTGGATCCCTGTTGAGTTCTTATGCTTTCATTTTGAAAACGAAATTCATCCGATTATTACAGGGATGATCCCAATCCGGAATATGAACCATAAAAGAAAATACCAATTAAACCGATCACAACAATACCAGCTACAGTACCTATTATCCAAAGAGGAATTCTTCCAATAGTATTGACCATTTATTTATCCCACTTTCCTCCACATTTGATCAAGTAGTAAGTCATACTAGAGACCTAAACAGTCATAGATAATTATGAAATGAGATCCTTCCGAATAGGATAAGAGAATTCCTAATATATATACTATTATCTTAATTTCTATTAATTGAAGAAATAATTTGAAAATAAAACAGCAAGTACAAAAATGAGTAATAAACCCCAGTAGAGACTGGTACGATTCAATTCAACATTTTGTTCATTTGGGTTTGATTGTGTCATAGCTCTATAATTCGGATTAGGTTTATCGTTGGATGAACTGCATTGCTGATATTGATCCCAAAAAAGAAACGGTGGGTACCGCTAGTCCGTGAACAGCCAACCATCGTACTGTAAAAATGGGATAGGTCCTATCTATGGTCATTGGAGCCTCCTAAAAAGATCTACTAAATTCATTGAGTTGTTCCAAAGAATCAAAACGGCCAGTTATTAAAGGAATTCCTTGTCGGGTTTCTGTAAAATACTCGTTTGGACGGGGGCTTCCAAATACATCGTAAGCTAAACCCGTGCTGACAAATAACCAACCCGCAATGAATAGGGAGGGTATAGTAATGCTATGAATAATCCAGTATCGAATACTGGTAATAATATCAGCAAAAGAACGTTCTCCTGTGCTTCCAGACATGTCGAGCTCCACATATTCTTATACAGTCAAAGGGGGATCGATTCCATAAAAGACCAGATCAGTAAGTATAAATTGACTGAAATTTTATTTTTGGTTACGATCGGCAATGGAGTACCAAGGGTCTCTTTTGAATCGACGCAATCAGTATAGCTATCCTTCTTCGAACACAACAACGAAATTTCACAATCAGTGACAAGATCAACTACTACCAAATAAAATTTCTTTTTTTTTCTGGTTGTTTCGATGTACTGAATCGAAAATTCCTCAAAGTTTAAGACTATAATATAAGATAGGGGTTCTTTACATTGATTCTTTCTTAGCTTCGGACTATAAATGGAGGATCAATGAAAATGTGGTGAATAGCATGAATTGATTTCTAATAATATAATTCATGAAGGAAATAATAATATTTCTAGAATTCAATTTGATAGGAAACATAAAAATATACTTTTTGGGGGTTGTCGAAGATCCTTTTTGTTAGAATCCCTTCTTGAATTTCATTTTCCCGAATTCAATTCATTAGTCGTCCAGTAACACGTAACAATAATATCAATATCAGTAGAGACATATCCAAGAATGACCTATTCATAAAAACTTGCCCTTATTTTAGGCTTGTTTTTTTTTTATGTTATCTGGCGAAATAAAAATTATTTTTAACAAAATAAACTCATTCTGTACTCTGCACAATTTTATATTAAAGTAATATGCTGATGTCAGGCAACTGCATCATTTTTTTATGCCAGTGGGTGTTCCAAAGGTAGCCTTTCAAATTCCTGGCGAGGATGAAGCTACTTGGGTTGACTTATACCATCAACTTTTTTACAGCGGACTTCTTTTTTTAGGTGACGAGATTGAGAGTGAACTAGCAAATCAAGTTGCTGGTATGATGATATATCTCAGTTTAGAGAACAAGAACAAAGATTTGTATCTGTTTATAAATTCTCCCGCGGAGAGGTTATGTCTGGAATGGCCATTTTTGATACTATGCAAGTTGTAGAAGCACAGGTACATACAATATGCATGGGATTAGCCGCTTCAATGGCATCTCTTATTTTGGCCGGAGGCGGAATTACCAAACGTCTAGCATTTCCTCACGCTTGGCGCCAATGATTCTTATTTGTAGAAGAAGACTATGCCTACGCCAATATGAAGTAAAAAAAGCATGGCACTCTGAGTTCGATATGCAAAAATAATTTTTTTTTTAAATCATTCGATTCTATATCGAAAGAGTAGTAGGAAAAAGGGGAAGGGGTATTTACAATTTTATATTTCCTCTTATCTATTAATTAGAGCCTCTTGATCTGGATTTAAGAATTATTATGGATTCTTCGTTGCTAGAATGGAAAGAATTAGGAAAAGAGGGGTCCAATGACAAATGGAAAAATCAAAAAGTTCGAAGAAGAAAGAATTTTTTGGTTCGACGCATGGGATTAGCTAAGCATTTTCTCCTAACAAATATAGAACCAGAATGGATGGTTTTATGTCTCTTACCAGTTCTTCCTCCCGAATTGAGACCAATTATTCAAATAGATGGCGGTAAACTAATGAGTTCGGATATTAATAAACTCTATAAAATAGTTATCTTTCGGAACAATACTCTTATTGAGCTATTAAGAACAAGTGGATTTACACCAGCGGAATTAGTAATGTCTCAAGAAAAATTGGTACAAGAAGCCGTGGATGCACTTCTTGATAATGGAATCCGCGGACAACCGATGAGGGACGATCATAAGAAAGTTTACAAATCGTTTTCCGATATAATTTCGGGCAAAGAGGGAAGATTTCGAGAGACTCTTCTTGGAAAACGAGTTGATTATTCGGGGCGTTCTGTTATTGTCGTAGGTCCATTACTTTCATTACATCGATGTGGATTGCCCCCCGAAATAGCAATAGAGCTATTTCAGACATTTCTAATTCGTGGTTTAATTCGAAACCATATTGCTTCGAACATAGGAGTTGCTAAGAGTCAAATCCGGGAAAAAGAACCAATTGTATGGGAAATACTTCACGAAGTTATGCGGGGACATCCAGTATTGCTGAATAGAGCGCCTACTTTGCATAGATTGGGCATACAGGCATTTCAATCCATTTTAGTAGAAGGACGTGCTATTTGTTTACATCCATTGGTGTGTAAGGGATTCAACGCAGACTTTGATGGGGATCAAATGGTTGTTCATGTGCCTTTATCTTTGGAGGCTCAAGCAGAAGCTCATTTACTTATGTTTTCTACTACGAATCTCTTGTCTCCGACTATTGGGGATCCTATTTCTGTACCAACTCAAGATATGCTTATTGGACTTTATGTATTAACTAGCGGAAATCGTCGAGGTATTTATGCAAACAGGTATAATTGGTTTAATTGCAGAAATTCTCAAAATGAAAAAATGAGCAATAATAACTTTAAGAACTTGAAGTATATGAAAAAAAAGAACCCTGTTTTTGCAATTCCTATGATGCAATTGGAGCTTATAGACAGAAAAGAATAAATTTGGATAGTCCTTTTTGGCTCCGGTGGCAAATACATCAATGCATTATGTCTTCAAGAGAAGTTCCTATCGAAGTTCACTATGAATCTTTTGGTACCTATTATGAGATTTATGAGGATTATTTAGTAATAAGAAGTATAAAAAAAGAAATTCGTTGTATATACATTCGAACCACTATTGATCATATTTCTTTTTATCGAGAAATCGAAGAAGCTATACAAGGTTTTTCTCGAGCCGATTCATCATATAGTATCTAATCATATAGATGGTTAGTGTTGGTATCCACGCTAAGTAAATTTAGGATACTGGTGTAAATTCAGGTCAACTAGCATCTTTTCAATTTTCTACGTAAATAAACATAAAGAAAAGGGAGTTTTCCAATCATTCACTCAAATCTATTGTCGTCGAACCGAATACCACTGAGTGGAATATGGAGGGACTTATGGCAGAAGGGACCAATCTAGTCTTTCACAATAACGTGATAGGTGGAACTGCCATTAAACGACTTATTAGCAGATTAATAGATCATTTCGGAATGGCATATACATCACACATCCTGGATCAAGTAAAGACTCTAGGATTCCATCGAGCTACTGCTACATCTATTTCATTAGGAATTGATGATCTTTTAACAATACCTTCTAAAGGATGGCTAGTCCAAGATGCTGAACAACAAAGTTCCGTTTTGGAAAAACATAATCATTATGGGAATGTCCATGCGGTAGAAAAATTACGCCAATCCATTGAAATATGGTATGCTACAAGCAAATATTTGCGACAACAAATGACTATGACTGACCCCTTTAATCCAGTCCATATAATGTCTTTTTCAGGAGCTAGAGGAAATGCATCTCAAGTACACCAATTAGTCGGAATGAGAGGATTAATGTCAGATCCACAAGGACAAATGATTGATTTACCCATTCAAAGCAATTTTCGTGAAGGACTGTCTTTAACAGAATATATAATTTCTTGCTACGGAGCCCGTAAAGGGGTTGTAGATACTGCTGTACGAACATCAGATGCTGGATATCTTACACGTCGACTTGTTGAAGTGGTTCAACACATTGTTGTACGGCGAACAGATTGTGGTACCATCCGTGGGATTTCTGTAAACATCCGAAATGGAATGATGCCAGAAAGAATTTTGATACAAACATTAAATGGTCGTGTAGTAGCAGACAATATATATATAGGTTCACGGTGCATTGTCGTTAGAAATCAAGATATTGGAATTGGACTTATCAATCGATTCATAACTTTTCAAACACAACCCATATTTATTCGAACCCCCTTTACCTGTAGGAATACTTCGTGGATCTGCCGATTGTGTTATGGGCGGAGTCCTATTCATGGGGACCTGGTAGAATTGGGAGAAGCTGTAGGCATTATTGCTGGTCAATCTATTGGAGAACCGGGAACTCAACTAACATTAAGAACTTTTCATACTGGTGGAGTATTCACAGGGGGTACTGCTGAATATGTGCGAGCCCCCTCGAATGGAAAGATAAAATGGAATGAGGATTTAGTTCACCCTACACATACACGTCATGGATATCCTGCTTTTATATGTAATATAGACTTGTATGTAACTATAGAAAGTTACGATATTATACATAACGTCATTATTCCACCAAAAAGTTTTCTATTAGTTAAAAATGATCAATATGTAAAATCAGAACAAGTGATTGCGGAGATCCTCGCGGGAACATATACTTTTAATTTGAAAGAGAGGGTTCGAAAACATATTTATTCTGACTCAGAAGGGGAAATGCATTGGAGTACCGATGTGTACCATGCATCAGAATTTATGGATAGTAATGTACATATCTTACCAAAAACAAGTCATTTATGGATATTGTCAGGAAAGTCGTGCAGGTCTAATACAACCCATTTTTTACTTCACAAGGATCAAGATCAAATTACCATGGATTCACTTTCGAATGGAAAAAAAAATATTTCGAATCTTGTAGAAAGGAATAATCAAGTAAAACATAAATTATTTGGTTTCCATACTTTTGGTACAAAAGAAAAGGGGATCAGCGATTATTCAATATTTAATCCAATCATATATATGGATCATTCTTATTTAATGTATCCCGCTATTTTTCACGATACTTTTTATTTCTTGGCGAAAAGGCGAAGAAATCGATTTCTTATTCCATTTCCATTCCAATCGATTCAAGAACGAAAGAACGAACTAATGTCCCCTTCCGGTGTCTCCATTGAAATACCTATCAATGGTATTTTTCCTAGAAATAGTATTTTTGCTTATTTCGATCATCCTCAACCCATTTTTCAAAAAGAAGATTTCATTGAGTATCGAGGAAGAAAAAAATTAAAGCCAAACTATCCAATTCAAGTAGGTCCCTTTTTTTTGATTCCCGAAGAAGTGCATATTTTACCCCCAATCTTCTTCCCTAATGGTACGGAATAATAGTCTTGTTGGAAGAGGAACACCAATCACTTTCAATATAAGAAGTCGAGTAGGCGGATTGGTCCGATTAGAAAAGAAAAAAAATAGAATTAAAAATATTTTCTGGAAATATCCATTTTCCCAGAGAGATTGATAAGATATCAAGACACAGTCCCATCTTTATACCACCCGGAACGGTAAAAAAAAAATGCAAGGAATAAAAAAAAAATAAAGATGGGATCTATGTCCAACGGATCGCAACTACAAAAAAAAATGCAAGGAATCAAAAAAAATTAAAGATGGGATCTATGTCAAATGGATCGCAACTACAAAAAAAAAAAGAAAAAAAAATTGTTTTGGTTCGACCTGTAATTTTATATGAAATACCGGACACTATCCCTTTTGTAAAACTTTTTCCCCAAGATCTATTCCAGGAAAAGGATAATCTGGAACTAAAAGTTGTCAATTCTATTGGAAAATCCATTCGGGAAATTTCCGACACAAGGATTCCATTCCTTCGGACTTGTTTAGTCTTCCATTGGGATGACGGCAAAAAAAGTTCTTCGATTGAGGAGGCCCCCACTTCCTTTATTGAAGTAAGTACAAATGGTTTGATTGAGTATTTTCTAAGAATTGACTTAGTAAAATCGAATACTTCATATATCAGAAAAAGAAATGACCCATCTGGTTTAGGATTGATTGGGGATAATAAATCGGATCGAATCAATCCATTTTTTTCTATTCATTCCAAGGGAAAAATTCAACAATCACTTAGCCAAAATCACAGAACTATTCGTATGTTGTTGAATAGAAATAAAGAATGCCGATCTTGGATAATTTTGTCATCATCTAATTGTTTTCAAATGAGACCATTCAACAATGTAAAATCTCACAATGGGATAAAAAAAGATCCTATAATTTCAATTAAGAAGAATAATAATTCGTTCGGCCCTTTAGGAATAGTTGCAAATTTATATTCACTTTATCATTTAATAACTCATAATCAGATCTCAATAATAAAAATTTTGCAACTTGACAAATTAAAGGAAATTTTTCAAGTAATGAAATATTATTTCATGGACGAAAATGAGAAAATTTGTAAACCCGATCTATACAGTAATATCGTTTTGAATCCATTCCATTTAAATTGGTTTTTTCTCCATTATTTTTCTTGTGAAAAAACGTTTCCAATAATAAGTCTTGGACAATTTATTTGTGAAAATATATGTATAGCTCAAATGAAAAATGGACCACACCTAAAATTAAAATCGGGTCAAGTTATAACAGTTCAAATGGATTCTGTAATAATAAGATCGGCTAATCCTTATTTGGCGACTCCATAATCAACTATTCACGGCCATTATGGGGAGATCCTTTCTCAAGGAGATATTTTAGTTACATTCCTATATGAAAAATCGAGATCCAGTGATATAACACAAGGTCTTCCAAAAGTGGAACAGATATTCAAAATACGTTCGATTGCTTCAATATCCATGAATCTAAAAAAAAGAATTGATGCTTGGAACGAGTGTATAACAAAAATTCTCGGCATTCCTTGGGGATTCTTGATTGGTGCTGAGCTAACTATAGCTCAAAGTCGTATTTCTTTGGTTAATAAAATCCAAAAGGTTTATCGATCCCAGGGAGTACACATCGATAATAGACATATCGAGATTATTGTGCATCAAATAACATCCAAAGTCTTGGTTTCAGAAGATGGAATGTCTAATGTATTTTTACCTGGCGAACTAATTGGATTATTGCGAGCAGAACGAACGGGGCGTGCCTTGGAAGAAGCCATTTGTTACCGAGCTTTATTATTGGGAGTAACAAAAACATCTCTGAATACTCAAAGTTTCATATCCGAAGCGAGTTTTCAAGAAATTGCTAGAGTTTTAGCAAAAGCCGCTCTTCTGGGTCGTATTGATTGGTTGAAAGGTCTTAAAGAGAATGTTGTTTTAGGGGGAATGATACCCATTGGTACCGGATTCAAAAGAATAATGCACCGTTCACGGTCAAGGCAACATAACAAGATTAGCCGGAAAAAAAAATTATTCGAAGTCAAAATTGGAAATCTTTTGTTCCATCACAGAAAATTATTTAATTTTTCTCATTTCAGAGAATTTATGTGATACATTCGAAATATAGGATTAAATATAGTATTAAATGCTTCATAACAGCGGATTCGACTCATCCATCCCCTGAAATATTTAAATGCAGTCATTGGATTTGGTAATTAAAGTATATTAAAAAATAATAAGAAATAGAAATCAAAGAATGGCCTGATTCTATATTAACGGCCGATCGTCTATAAAAGAGAAGGTTCCATCGGAACAATTATTTATTAGGATACTCGGTCTCTTTTTTTTTTTCTTTCTTTTTTTAAACAAAGTGTGGGGATAAATGACAAAAAGATATTGGAACATAACTTTGGAAGAGATGCTGAAAGCTGGGGTTCATTTTGGCCATGAGACTAGGAAATGGAATCCTCGAATGACACCTTTTATATCGGTAAAACGTAAAGGTAATCATATTACAAATCTTACTAAAACTGCTCGTTTTTTATCAGAAGCTTGTGATTTGG